TTAGGTACGACATATATATATATATATATATATATATATATATATATATATATATATATATATATATATATATATATGTCGTACCTAATAGCCAGAACTCACTTCTCAGCCTACTATTCAAGGCCCGATTTACCTAATAAGCCAAGTTTTCCTGAAATAATATATTTACTATAATTTTTTTCTTATGAAATGATAAAGCAACCCTTTTCTCTATGTATGAGGTCAATTTTTTTTATTGGAGTTAAAATTAACGTAGATATATGACCGAACCTAACCAACCCTACCTAACCTAACCTAACCTATATTTATAGGTAAGGTTAGGTTAGGTAGCCAAAAAAAGCTAGGTTAGGTTAGGTTAGGTAGGTTAGGTAGACGAAAAAACATTAATTCATGAAAACTTGGCTTATTAGGCAAATCGGGCCTTGAATAGTAGGCTGAGAAGTGCGTTCTGGCTATTAGGTACGACATATATATATATATATATATATATATATATATATATATATATAGTCTGACACTATATATATATATATATATAGTGTCAGACCACGGAGGAAGAATTGAAACATGAATTTCCTCAAGTACTTTCGTATATTAATACATCATCAGAAGGAATGTATTCAGACTGGGGAAGACTTTCCTACGTAGCACCTGGTACTGAGGAAGACTTCAGATTCCTTCGGAAGATGTATTAATATACGAAGTACTTAAGGAAATTCATGTTTCAATTCTTCCTCCGTGGTCTGACACTGTCATATTTTTTATCACGTGTTTATTTTCGTGATACACACACACACACATATATATATATATATATATATATATATATATATATATATATATATATATATATATATATATATATATATATATAATATGTATTCACAGCAGGAACAACAAAAGATAAGCTAAATCCGTATTGTACATAGAAAACAGAAACTGACAAATTTGTATTGAAATAAAACATTCAGAATCTTAATTTTGCTGTGTATGTTGTAATGATCACCAGCGTGTCATTCCAAGTGTCATGTTTATACAAAATCTGATGCTACCATCATACTTCTTATCTGGTAACAAATTCCAATAAAACAAATAAAATAATGTATACATCAATAATATTGTGTAAGTATATAATATGTGATTAGTTAAGCCTGGTCGACGACCGGAGTGTGAGGCCTGGTCGACGACCGGGCCGCGGGGACACTAAGCCCCGGAAGCACCTCAAGGTAGCCTAGTAATTTGTGTTTTACAATAAGTGGCAGATTATTCTCTTCTATACCTCCAAAGGATACCTGATCAACCAGGCTGTGACTCATACGTCAGGCTGCGAGCAGCCGCGTCCAACAGCCTGGTTGATCAGTCCAGCAACCAGGAGGCCTGGTCGACGACCGGGCCGCGGGGACGCTAAGCCCCAGAAGCACCTCAAGGTAACCTCAAGGTAGGCAAGGTATAAGCCATTGTGAGCATTAACTCACCACAACACAACATCCAGCTACAATTGACTAAAAGAGTAATAATTAAAAAAGTATTATATGGCAGGGACAGGGATTGGAAATTATTAATATTATTCATATTGGTCAATTTTCTCCAGTAGAAACAGGAGCCAGGAAGACACTTATGAAAGTACGGTAGTACCTGCAACACCTATGTACCTTTATCTTAACTTTGGGGATGAATAAAGCATGAGGCGCTGTAGTGAGGCCTGGGGCATGGGGAGCTGCCGCTGGTGTTCCCAAGCGTTCGTAAGGTGTTGGTGAATTAATGTGGGGCGGGTGAGAAGGTTTCAAGAGTTCAATTGTGTGAGTTAAGGGGGCTTCGGTTACCGTGTGCGTTGGGTGGGGTTGTGGGAAGCACGACGGGGCGGTGCCGGACGTTACGGGGCATGACGAGACGGGGAGCTGGGTGGGACTTTCCGGGACGGGGCGGGACGGGGCGGGGCGGGGAACCAGTATGTGTGTAGGGAGGAGGAGCGACACACAGGCACCCCCCTCACCACTGTCACCTGTGATGCCACACACACTCACCACCTCCACCACTCTGGCAACACCTCGCACGCAGTGGCCACGGCACATGACGCTCATATTCAGCACTCGTGACCACAGTCAAACAGTGACGTGCTAGTGAACGTCTTACATGCGTATTTCCTTGGAACATAACACTCGCATAAGGTGGAACTTAGCGTCCTAGCCTTGGTGCCTTGAGTTGCAGTGGTGACCTGATATCTTGTGGCGACCAAACGCTTGGTCACGACGATATCATGACCTATGGTCAAACGTGGTGACATGCTATACTATAGCGACCCGACTTAGTAATGTGATTATTTGATAATCTCCATTGCCCCTAGCTGCGTACCCTAGTAGAGTGATCTCACATCGTACAGTGACCTGACTTCACGCTGTCGTCGTTACCAGCCTCGTGGCCTGCCGTGGCGGCCTGGCACCGTGACTTGGCTGTGACCTGGTCACCAGCACCGGTCACCACACGCACGCCATCACTGCCGGCGGAGTGCGTCACTCGCGGCCGGCATTACATGTGGCCAGGTAAGGGGGGCCTCTGTGGAGCTGAGTGAATACCCAACACCACACGTCACAGATCAATGCACCTTCTCTTACTGCTGCCAGTACTGCTACCTCTGCTACTACTAGTACCACCACTATTACTACTACTACTACTACCACCACTATTACTACTACTACTAGTACCACCACTATTACTACTACTACTACTACCACCACTATTACTACTACTACTACTACCACCACTATTACTACTACTACCACCACTATTACTACTACTACTACTACTATACCGCAAATAAATACAGTGGCGCGGAATCACTAGAACGCTGGTTTCAATCAACTGATTGTCTCAAATAGTTTTCTCACTACTGTACTACGAATGCTACTACTCTACCACTATTAATACTAATACTACTACTAGCACTTGCTGGTACTCATAATACTATCACTACCCCCTATCACTACTAAGTACTATTATTATTATTATTATTATTGCTACTTCTGATACACTTACTAATTTAACTAATACTGGTACTGTCATCACTAACACTTAAATTTACAATTTGTACTACGTCCAACACAAATTTCATACCTACTTAAGCTTCAATCTGGGTCCACTACCTTTTTCTACTCCTAGGATAATTCTACTAATAGTAGTACTACTACTATTACTTCTACTTAAACTACTGCTACTATCAACACTACTTCAGCCTTTACAACTACTCCTACGAGCATCTTCCATTGTCTATAGTAGATCAATGTCTACTTTCTCCATTGTTACTGATGATACTACTGATAGTGTTACTGCACTAATTCTTCAACTACTTATTCTACAACAAAAACAACTACTACTACCACTACTACTACTACTACTACTACTAATAATAATAATAATAATAATAATAATAATAACAACAACAACAAAATGTTACTCTGAGACCCGGCAATAATGTAGTGATAATCACTGTAGTTTCACTGTATTTGTTTTTACGTTTTAGATGTATCATACATGTGAATATGACCCTTCGTTAAAATGCCCACTACTAATTCTAGCAATAATAATACATTTTCTACTACTAGGCTACATTTTCTATTACTAGGATACATTTTCTACTATGCTTCTATTTATACTAGGCTATATTTTCTATTACTAGGCTACTCGTACTGCTGCTGTAACTACTCTACTATTACCGATGTCTGGAAAACAATAATGACACTATGTAACATCATTGTTGTGCCTGGGTATTTAGTGTTAGTTTCTAATTATCCATGCCTCCAGAGTATGGAAATGGCTTCTATTGTTACAGAGTTGTCACAGCTACTATTGACAAGTTGTCACAGCTCTAGATAAGGAGTTGGAAGCCTTACTTTGAGGTGATTTTACCTTGAGGTGATTTCGGGACTCGGCGACCCCGCGGCCCGGTCGTCGACCAGGCCTCCTCAGTAGCCTTAAAGTAAACTTCATGACATCTTCACTCGGTTGTCTAAGGCAAAAGTCAAAAGCAAAGTTTAAGGGGAACAACCATTTTCTGTGCTTTAGAGGCATAAGCTATTAGAAAATTACTACCCAGGGATAAATAAAATTGTTACAATGTGTTATTTACGCAAGAAATCATTTTTATCACTGGAGGAAGAAGCGCTTTCTCCCTACTTATTTTTATGCAATAATTATCTTTATCATTATAGCCTGGAATGCTAGCAGCATAATTCTGTTCATCTAATCTGTCCTGGGAACTTCACAGCTCAATGAATGGCAAGTGTTGCCAAAACGTTTGCCATTGCTCTCAAGGTCAATAGATATTTCCCCTTTCATTTACTTGACCTCTACAAAAGTCGTATTTTTCCTTGTTTAGAATATTGCTCTTATAACTGGCGTAGTTCCCTTACGTCAAAATTCTTGATGTAGTGTGAAGGAAAGTGGTTCGTCTAATCCCAATTCTTCTGATCTCAAATTTAAGCTCTTTTGCTGCATAGTTGCTTCTCTTTCTTCTTTCGCTACTTCGAAGGCTACTGCTCTTAAGTTCTTGTAACCCTGTACCCACTCGTCAAGTACAGTCGAGCTGTACTAGCACTACAGCTTCTCATAGTTGTTGTCTTTCACTAATCCAATAATTAAGTGACCACTGACACCACCGACTTCTTCCCAGCCATCTTGAGGAATGGACTAGCACCCTGCGTGTTCCCAAACACCTTTAGTCTCCAAATATTAACAAGTCGCCTTAGGAGTTTTATTTTCACTGCAGACGGATATTTGTATTTTTACAAAATTATAAACTGACCGGCTCTTAACGACTGACAGATATACGAGTTATTTATTATTTGGAAAGTGAATGGATGTATATTTCTTACGTTCAATAACTGGACAGTTCCAGCACTTGGTCTTGGTTCTAGATCTTCAACACATAACTTTATTTCTTGCGTGAGACGTAACTCATCTTTCTCGTTACAGACATGATGAACGAGGATGGTGGTAGCGGAGGAGTGATGGCTATGGCTGGGGGCAGTCTGAGAATGTTCCCGCGTCTCCACCCGCACCTCTCGCCCCATCCCGAGCACTATTTGGACTCTCAACCTCTTGACTTTTCCACAAAGAAGGAAAAGCTGTCGCCAACTAATTTCGGCAGCGACCACAGCGACGACAGCGACCGCTGCAGCCTAACAGAAGGCGGCCTGGGAATGGTTGCCAACCTGGTTCACGACCGCAAGTTGTGGTCGCGGTCTTCAGAATCCGGCGTCTCCGTCAGTAGTAACTCTCCCGAACGTCCCGGGTCACCTAGGTCCAACTGTGGCTCACCTATGGCCTTCAATCCTGTCCGCCATCCTCACTACCAACCAGTCCACCACATGTCTCCCACCTCCCACCTCGCCCACTCTCAACTCGCCCCGCACATCCCAGCCTCAATCAACTCTGCCCTCTTCGCCCAGCTACACGCTAACCCGCTTCTCTTCTCCACCCTCCAGTCAGCAATTGCCAAATCTAAGATGGCACATCCCTTCGGGCCATACCTACATCAGCCCAATCCATCCCCAACGTCCAAGGACTTTACTCCAGCCCGACCTGGCTGTCCCTCCCCTAGCGCGTCCAGCAGTCTGGGTATGAGCGGCCTGGAGGGAAGTGGGCTTGGGTCAGGAAGCTTCTGTGCTGGCGGTCCCTCTGCGAAACCCAAAGTTCAGGTTCCAACGAACTTATCGCCGAACATTTTGGGAGGATATGACGGGCTAGGAGGGCTGGGAGGCGGGATGGGTTACGGTCTGGGCGGCAGCACCACCAGCATGATAAACGGGGAGCTGAACTTCGCTGTGGAGAGCAACGACGCTTATTCCAGGTTCAGGGAGCAGATGCTGGCGCAGGTGACAGCCGCCAAATGTCGGCGCTCCACAGTTGGTCGCAAACCCTCTCACAACAATAGTGTCGACGTCCCCATGACCTTCAGGGATAAGAGCGAGGACAACGACTCCAGGAGTGATGGAAATATTGACGTGTGTGGACTAAACAGCGAAGGCGGGGTTGTGGAGTGTGAGGGAGGAGGGCCGCCCACGGATGGCGACGGTGACGGTGACGACAGCGGTGACATGATGACCTGCTCTTCAGTGGCCTCCAACGGCAAGAGACGCAACAGACAAAACGGCGACTGCGTCAAGGACGACGCCTACTGGGAGAGGCGGAGGAAAAACAACGAGGCCGCCAAGCGCTCAAGGGATGCCCGGAGAGCAAAAGAAGATGAAATCGCCATCCGCGCCGCTTTCCTCGAGCAGGAGAACCTTAAGCTGAGAGTAGAGGTCGCCTCGCTGAAGACTGAGACGTCTAAGCTGAGATGCTTATTGTATAACAGCTGAGAACTGAGCAACCCGTCCTCTCCAATGGTACATAGCATTTTAACGCATAAATCTTCTAAGGGCAAAAACTGACGTACTAAAAATCATATCGGCTCGCAAAATTGATGTTATGTCCCGTTTTCTATTTGTGGATCCTCTGTCAGGTTAGTGACGTTAACGCTCGAGAGGATGGACTGAACTGTCAGTTAAGACTGAGGAGTGTGTGTAGAGCCGCCTCTCCTCCCCACCACTGTGCCTTATCTTCTACGTCATTATCTTTAGCATCTCTAGCTGCCTCGTGGAGCCTGCGACACTTACTTTAACATGTGTGCCAGCCCAGGTGTAAAGTGTACAGTTGTGTGAGAATGGTATACACACAGGCAATATATGGACGCATAACAGCGTGTTGGAAAACGTGATCAGTGAAAATAACACGTGTAGAGCTGGAGGGAAGGCGAGACCTGTACATTAACCCGTGGGATATATACACGTGCGTAGGAGTGTGTTCAGGTTACGGACTATTCATCATGCCCGCGCCACCTCTTGGCTGGCTTAATCTTCATCAATCTGTGTTCATGTTGGCATCAACAACTCATGCCAACATGAGTTGTTCATGACGGTATGAGTGATTATCTCTCGACACCTCCTGAAGCGACTTCTACCCGGCCACTGCCCGTTAAAAAACAATGCAGCGCGTCCCATAGTGCTGGTTCGATCCCTATCCTGCGCCAATGATTTTCGCAGCGTCCTAATGTAATAAATAAATATTAACCATAGTCTCCCTCTAACCACCGCCACCTTTACTACCATTTCTCTATCATCGTCGCCGACCTCTTCGTCCACTGACATCATTCCATCTACGCGGACCTATTCATCCTCACTTGCTTCCCTCCTCCTACATTGATGGTATTTTGTTCTTCTCCCCCCAATCGTCTCCATCAGTTTTGTAAGTGACTCGGCGCGAAGGCGCTTGCTGTTGGTGTAGCCTTTAGGTACCATTAAAGGTACCATTTAGGTACCATTATACCTTAATATAAAGAGTTGAGGCCAGTTAGATACCTTTATATTATAGTGTTAACAATTAAGACTTGTTATGTACCATTATAACATGTTATTAACAATTACGACCTGATAGGTACCATTATAACATGTTACAAAGGTTCTTGATTCTCTACACATTATATTGTTTGTTAAATAATTTTCACGGGTTTTCTAAACAAGCTATGATCATCGCACTCTCATAATTCATGTGTTGGTTACGGTCCAAAGTGTAATATAATAATGAAATAGTAATATAATAATATAAGAGTAATATAATTTATGCATATATATATATATATATTTTGACAACCCATCCTCCTAAAATGAAAGTATTTACAGTAAGCTATGAGGTCGAAAGTACTAGGATGTCGTGATGGACCACCAGAAAGCAGTTGTTGTTGTTTAAGATTGGCTACTTGGAACAAAAAGTTCCAAGTAGCACGGGCTATGGTGAGCCCGTAGTAAAGAAAGCAGACGTTTGTATCTTTGAATTTTGACAAAGCAGAATTTGTTTTGTATTAGTAACATAAATATTAGACCAAACCTAATCTCTCCTAGTAGTCTTAGACCTAATAAATGCTACCTGAGGCCTAATATAGCACATATACGTACTATACTAGGCCTAATATAGTACATATGTGTACTAAACTAGGTCTAGGAATATTTTAAGTTTAATTTTAAGAATTATTTTTTTCCAGACTATAAAAGTAGTACAAACAATGGCTTACTGTGCTCTATTACTACATATTAGTACTTTCGAGCGCATAGTTACGTAAAACTACTCTCATTTCAGGAGGATGACAGATATTGACCTGGAAAAAGTCTGCTCATTTTAATTTTAGATTGTCTTAGATTTCTTAATATATTATTTTAATATATGTTGACATTTCCGTAAATGCTGTAAGTCTTTTGTTTTTAACTTGTGTTTTATTTCGACTCGAAACTTGAGGTTGTAAATATAGTTTAGGTTCCTCAGCCATGCGCATCCCGCTGCTCAGGTCCCAGTGTTGCCAACAACAATATAACAAAAGCAAATAAATGAATCCACTTAATTCGGTGATGTAAGTTTTATTACGTAATTATACAGTAATAATAACATGCACTATGGCAGCCTACTAATACAAATGTGTTGTTGTAGGTAGTTATAAAAGCGACATTGAGATCGTTCACCGGTGGATGATGTAATAAGTAGTTTGGTGATCCTAGGATCATTGAAGCGCGCTCGTCCCGACTGATTATTTCAACCCGTCCTCTCCAACAGTACATAACATTCTGAATGAAGTACTGAAAACTTTACTAAAAATTGACATGATGTCCCAAGTTCAAGTTCAAATATGTTTATTGAGACAAGAAATAAATACATCTCAAAGGAATAAAGTAGCTTAGGCTATTTCTACCCCCCCCCCAATGATGTCTCGTTTTCTGTTCATGGATACTATTCATCTTAATATATTATTAAGATTAAACTATTATTGCCCGAACTTAACCTATCATCGGTTAGGATAGGTTCGGAAAATTTAGTGCATCAGTTTAGTGACGTTGCAAACGCACAAGAGGACGGATTGGATTTTGTAACGTATACCATCTAGTACAAATGTTAAAACGCTGTTTTGTTTAATTTAAGGATATTTAAGGTAATTAAGTCATGCCTACATGAAACACGTAATGGTTGATAAAACTGCCAGTGCTTGTAAAGTAGAGCTGACGAAAAAGATTTAATAAACCAGATAGATGATAGAAACCCGCATATATTGAAATAGATTGATTGATTGATAAAGATTAAGCCATCCTCAAGGTGGTACGAGGCATGAATAGCCCGTAAATTGCCATAGAAGTAAGAGCCAGATCTTGTACCGCCAGAACCCTACACGTCTCCGTTAATAACTATCATCATCAGTAAACAAACCACTCGCAAGACTTGACCAAGTCTCTAAATGTCATCAGCAGCTATCGCCGTCCACTAATAACTAACTACTCGCAACACCACTATACTCTGCTACGTGTTAACTACACGTACAGTTACCAACAGAGGGCGCTGAGGAAGTATCTGGCATCCCGCCCACCAGCTCTCTCTTCTGCTTTACTATTATCGATGACGGAAAACCTGTTATAGGCTTATAGTTTCCCCTAGAGTCTAGGGCCTGACTGACTTTCCCTCAGGATACAACCCACAACAGTTTTTTAACTCGCGGATAACTACTTACAGTGAAAAATAAGCATCGGGTGAATAAAAACATTGTCATTCGGAACATTTCAGGTGACTAACGTAGTAGTTACTGCGCTAACTACTGCGCATAACAAAAATCAACATTGATAACACCGATGGAGTGCGTTTCAGGGCTGACAACCACACTCCTCAACTCTATACTAACCGTCCTCTTGTATACACTCTTGCTGGTTCAAATGGCGGCTCAGGAGCGTCATATTGTTTTCCATAACCAAGATTTTCGTTGTTATTCTCTTTGACCTTATGGTTCTGCCTGCTTATTGTGCCTTTCTCTTTTCTATGATGTGTGGTGCAATGTTTTGTGTATTGCATATAACACAAAGATATGACAGACAAATATATTGTCAACAATTATGTAGCCTGTTTTCCTTAATCCAAAATTTGGCTTTATTACACACACACACATATATATATATATATATATATATATATATATATATATATATATATATATATATATATATATATATATATATATATTATTAAATATGACCGAAAAAGTAAGATTAATAATTCTAACACGAATTTTCTCAATCTTTCGTACATTTCTTTTCACCGTTGGTGGTAATTCAAAAATCAATTCTCCAAAATTCATTTTTATTTCTAGTCTAGAAAAAGACTAGAAATAAAAATGAATTTTGGAGAATTGATTTTTGAATTACCACCAACAGTGAAAAGAAATGTACGAAAGATTGAGAAAATTCGTGTTAGAATTATTAATCTTACTTTTTCGGTCATATTTAATAATATATGTCTACAGGAAAGACTGCTACCAAAATATACTAATATATATATATATATATATATATATATATATGTCGTACCTAGTAGCCAGAACGCACTTCTCAGCCTACTATGCAAGGCCCGATTTGCCTAATAAGCCAAGTTTTCCTGAATTAATATATTTTCTCTAATTTTTTTCTTATGAAATGATAGAGCTACCCATTTCATTATGTATGAGGTCAATTTTTTTTAATGGAGTTAAAATTAACGTAGATATATGACCGAACCTAACCAACCCTGCCTAACCTAACCTATCTTTATAGGTTAGGTTCGGTTAGGTAGCAGAAAAAGTTAGGTTAGGTTAGGTTAGGTAGGTTAGGTAGTCGAAAAAACATTAATTCATGAAAACTTGGCTTATTATGCAAATCGGGCCTTGCATAGTAGGCTGAGAAGTGCGTTCTGGCTACTAGGTACGACATATATATATATATGTATATAGCAACCCGTTCTCGCAAATTTAATAAGTCAATATTGACTTATTAGTTGAGTGCATAGGTGACATACTAAACATAATAGTTTCCCTTGAAAAGCTTCATAGAAAACACCGACCTTACCTAACCTACTTAGTATTTTAAAATAAGCATCTTATAGCTTCGTAATTACAATTGTTACTTAACCTATTATAGGTATAGGTTAGGTAATAATTGTAATTACGAAACAATAAGATGCTTATCTTAACATACTAAGTAGGTTAGATAAGGTCGGTGTTTTCTATGAAGCTTTTCAAGGGAAACTATTATGTTAAGTATGTCACCTATGCACATATTTAATAAGTCAATATTGACTTATTAAATTTGCGAGAACGGGTTGCTATATATATATATATATATATATATATATATATATATATATATATATATATATATATATTGTGAATCGTGTCCTACTACTGGACCTGCCCACTCATCCACCAGGCCCCCGCCCCACCAGCATAAGGTAGCAGTGACTGCCAATATCTAAGGAACAACTGATGCAAATATAAAAATATATTATACAATAGGCAAGATAAAATTGGTAAACTATGTTAGTAAAGAATAAACAAAGAAAGAAAGCGGTGCGATATGTTACAACCAGATAGATGTTCCCTCTACGCCAACCTTAACAGCTAAAACTATTGTAACTGCATGCTTAATGAAACAATATAAATATACACTTCCCGAAATGTTATATACAAACCTGTACATATAAAGTAGAGTTCTTGCTGACAAACTTCAAGGTCACGTAAATAATAATAATAATAATAATAATAATAATAATAATACCAAGGAAATCACACTAACGTAATATAAAACTGAGAAAATCAATACTCCCAGCTGCGTGTCTTAACCCACTAGACCACAATACGTTATAAGTGCTGTAATTTAACCTGGGATACTACCGAGTCCTCTTGAGACATCTAGATGATACTAAATCAAGTTTTCACAAATTACATGCACACACTGTTGTAGCGTATCGTGGTCTACAGGGTTAAGGTGCGTGGCTGGGAGTACCCAGGTCACAGGTTCGAATCCCCTCATTCCTCCAATTGATTTTATTATTGATATATCACATTAGTGTGATTTTCTTGTGTATAAAAGAGGAGCGTATTGCTGTGGTCTTTGCACAAGTTATGCAGTCTCACCTTGAGTCTGTAGTCTTTGGAGATGAGAGTAGAAGCAAGTCTAGACTTCCTGGGTAGATGTAGGAGGGAATAAGGTAGGTGGGTCCTCCAGTTACAGCCTTGGGGTAGTCCAGACCCAAAATATCAGCAACAGGGTTACGGCAATGTCTTCGAGCCCAAGATGTTTGATCCTTTCTCTGTCCGAGGCGTGCGCAGTTTCCCGCGCACGGCTGCCATCCACCAATCACGACACAGCTTGTAATCCACCAATCACGACACAGCTTGTAATCCACCAATCACGACACAGCTTGTAATCCACCAATCACGACACAGCTTGTAATCCACCAATCACGACACAGCTTGTAATCCACCAATCACGACACAGCTTGTAATCCACCAATCACGACACAGCTTGTAATCCACCAATCACGACACAGCTTGTAATCCACCAATCACGACACAGCTTGTTAGTGGGCCAGCCATAGGCTTAAGGCCCGCGCAGGAATATCCCTGAAAAAAAGGACACAGCTTCATCTATTGGATGACACTGTAGTGATTTCAGTACCCCCTACAACACGGCGGAGTTGAGGAAAAATGGCAGAGGAGAAGCAACCGACCAGCGCGAGATCAACAAGCAGAGAACCACGAGACCAGAGGCTCCCTCACACCCTCCTTCAGCCCGTCCTCCAAACAAAGACCTAAAAGTGATTCCATCCACCCCCCCCCCCCGCTGTTTATGAATGAAAAACGGTTTACACACGACTCACAACTGATGACGTTCGAACACTTCTGGAACAAGTGCTTCACGGACGAATTTTGTTCGAACCACAATCTTGAGATTATCTCAGCCCGTCCTCCAAACAAAGATCCAAAAGTGATTCCATGCAGCCCGTCCTCCAAACAAAGATCCAAAAGTGATTCCATGCACCCGCCAAACCCCCTGTTTATGAATGAAAAGCGGTTTACACACGACTCACAACTGCTGACGTTCGAACATATCCGGAACAAGTGCTTCACTGACGAATTTTGTTCGAATCACAACGCTATAAATGCTTCACCCACGTACTACAAATACAAATAATCGCCAACAGAACCTAAACACCTAACCTAACCTATCCTATACCTATATATACACAATATGCTAATATATTATAATATTAATTTATACTTGAGAAAATTCCCGTTTTGAATGAACAGTATGTTAAAATTTATGAATGCGTCTGTGGGGTTGACCGCTGAATGTAATGGACTTGAGTCGAGGACGGGTTGGATTATCTTGAGATGATTTTCAGGGCTTAGCGTCCCCGCGGCTCGGTCCTCGACCAGGCCTCCTTTTTGTTACACCCCCCCCCCCAGGAAACAGCCCGTAGCAGCTTTCTAACTCCAAGGTACCTATTTACTGCTAGGTGAACAGGTGCATCAGGGGTGAAAGAAACTGCCCATTTGTTTCCGTTTTCACCGGGGATCGAACCCGGAACCTCAGGACTACGAATCCGAAGCGATGTTCACTCGGCTGTCAGGATCCACAACGCTGTAAATGCTTCACCCACGTACTACAAATACAAATAATCGCCAACAGAACCTAAACACCAAACCTAACCTATGCCTATATAAGCACATTATGCTAATATATTATAATATTAATTTAGATTTGAGAACATTCGCGTTTTGAATGAACAGCATGTAAAAATTTATGAATGCGTCTGTGGGGTCGACCGCTGGATGTAATGGAATTGAGTCGAGGACGGGTTAACCTCCTTA